TTACTGACCAAAATCAACGATTTTGGGGAAAAATGCAGTTTTCAAGGAAAACGGAACCTACTGGTTCCCGGTTTTCCCGGTCCGACCGTACAGTCCAGTCCGATTTTGAAAACAGTGCTATGAATCACATATGCATATGGTGCTGCTTGTGTGCTTCTCAATAAAATCACAAAAGTAACATTCAGTATAAAAGATTTTGAAAATTTGGTCAAGGTAACATGGTTTTGCTCTTGAGTTCACTTGATTGATCAACTTAGTTTGAATATTTCAGTGGTCCTTATACAAGCAGGGTTTTTGGTTGGTTCAGTCTCAAGTCTAACTGAAACAAGGGACTACGGGGATGTTCACCAACATGTATGATTTTATTGTTTCAACAATTTAGTATGATTTTTTTTTTCCAAAACAAAGCAATTGTCGCATCAGGAAAAAAGAAGGTTTTTTATGCAAAAACTGTTTTGTTTTGAATAAACAAGGTAACTTACAAAGACCCCCATACTATGGGATTAATGACAATTATTCCCTAAACTTTCATTTGGGACAAAGACCCCTTGAACTTTTATTTTGCAACAAATACCCCCTTTCATTAGAATTTGTTAGTTAATTTTGAAAAAGATTATCATTCAGTTGTTTAAATTTTTAATCCTCAAACTACTCTTTTCTTATTTATTTTGAACGATTTATGATTTGATTAATTTTCTAAATATAATATTGAAGTACTCTAAGTCGTGCTAATAGATCCTTGTAGATTTCTAGCTATAGATTCAATATTCATATGAAATGGTAAATGTTTCTTCCTAATAGATATATTTAAGGTTTTCATGGTTTATTGGAGAAAGGAGTGGATAATTTTTATGTTTTAAGATGAAGAGAAACATTAATGTCAATGAAATGAAACAATAATTTAAAGAAACCTTTTCTATTTCAATGAATTCTTATTATTTAGCTGGTTTTGTTAGGAGACATTGAGATATTTTTGGGTCAATTAGGGTTTAAAGGAAAAGGGCAATGAAAAAAATAAGGAAAGTTCAGGTGGGTATATATTTTGATAATTTAATGTGTTTTATCATCTCATCTAACTTAACAGTTAAGGGGTATTTATCGTAAAGTGAAAGTTTAGGGGACTTTGTCTCCAACGAAAGTTCATGGGGGCAATTTCCATTGACCCCATAGTACATGGGGGCAAGGTTCAAAGTATCAACACGTATTGGCCTGTATCGGCCGATACATATCGTGCTGATGGCTTCCCAATAACGCCCCTCCAAGGGTTGTATCGGGTCAGACCATGGTTCAGAGGGTAGCCAAGACTTACACCGACCCTCTGAACCGGTTTTGAAAATAAATAAATAAAAAATAAAAAAAGCACCGATATAGGAGTCGATACTTTGAACCTTGCATGGGGGTCTTTGTAATTTCATAGACTTTGGCAAACACCCCCTAAGTGCAATATATAAGCTTCTCACATATGAACTTATGGTGATTCTTTTGGACAACTAATTACATGTAAGGCCTCGTTCACTTTTCGGGAAGTTACATACATGGGTAAGTATTTCCCAGGAAACATTAGGTAAGTTCATATACCCATGTTCTCTTATTTCCTAAGTAAATAAGACAATGACCATTTTAACCATAAAAATCCATTATAAAAATGGACAATTTTGTCCCATCTAAGTATTGGCAACTTGCCCCTCTAAGTGAAAAAGTTACTTATCCACCTAGGAGATGGATATCACCTATTCGAATAAGTGATACCCATAACCAAATTTCCTCTTGTCAAAATCCAAAAAAAAAAATGAATGGGCCCTAAAATTGCTAATCACCATGGATGTAACTCACGTAAGAGATTCATCCAGGTGAACTGTCTAAGACATGCTGCACTCCATATATAACAAATCAAGCATCAATGGAGTAACAAGTTTATTCATTAAAGGGATATCCTTGGACAACCATCTTAATAATTTTAACTTGATGCATTTTGAGACATACATAACACCATCTCAAGTAATGTAAATAAATAATGTTATATTGTTTAGAATTACATACATTGATTCAACTGAGCTTTTTGGTGTTTCCTTGATTTTTTTTTTTTTTTGGTTCTTTTCCTCATTACCATCTCAAATGGGTGAATTTGTTGGATTCTTTCTTTTCATCTTCTCAAGTATGAACACAATAACTAATTCAAACAAAAACATCAACGACTAACCTCCTGCTCAATGGCCTCACCTATGTGAACAACATGAACATAGCCTTCTTCCTGTCCGGTCATCATCTAATGCATGACGATTACCACCATCGTATCAGCTGGCAACAATCCAATATGGGGCACATAAGTAGCCTCCTGCTTCTTTGACTCCTATAGCTTCTACTCTTTTGTACGTAATTGCTTCTCGTAGAGACTCAAACCAACCAAGAAATGGAAGATTTCACATAAGACAAATTTGGAGCCAATGAAACTTCTGCAGAGTAACTTTGGAGGTAGTCTAGCATCCATGTGATTTGGTTTAGTACCAAAAACTAGAGACTTCACATAGCTTTTTACTCTATTCACCACTACTTTGGTTCAATCTCGAGGAAAAAGACGAAAGACAATGTCTTCTTATATAATGAAGGGTAATTTTGATCTTAATCTACAATTTATCCAAATCTGTTATTATCAAATAAAATATGGATTTGAGAAAATGGCACCTAATTATATCGTAAAAAATCAATTACACACAACCAATGTCTTCTCCAGCCAAGTTTTGCTATGGGCGGAGGGTTTTCTTTCTAAAACCTTGATATAAAGTGATAGGGATCCTTTAGGAGATAAACAACCATGGCCCATGTCCTTAAACATTTTCCACTTGATTTAGTTCTTAACAAATGGTCGATTAAGTAAATCAATTGGCAAAGGTGCCAACAGACTAGTTGGTAATACTGTTTTCAAAACCGGATTAGACCGGACGGTCGACTTGGAAAAACCGGGAACCGGTCACCTGACTGATTCCGTTTTCCTCCAAAACCATTGATTTTGGTTAGCAAATCGCTGAACCGACTGGTTAACCGTTTGAACGATTTTGACCATTTTCCAATTTTTTTATTTTATTTTTTTAATTTTTTGGTCAGAACGGGCTGGCCGTTCGGGTTGAACGATCGGACCGTTCCGTTCAAACTGGTAACCAGACCCCTGACTGATTCAGTCACCGGTTTGTCTTTAAAAACCATAGTTAATAAGGTCTCCAATTCATTGTAACGGGTTTAGGTGATCATGTGACCATTTTAAGATGGCAATACAAATGACTCTTAACAAAGTTTGGAGTAAATATATCAATTGGAAGGATGGCAATTGACTAATTGGTAAGGTTTCTATTTGATTGTAGCAGAGACTTGGAATTGAATCCTGATTTTACACCATAATTGGGCGGTTATGAGTTTGGGGGAAGGGCTAACCCCTCATTGTGTAGCCCCATGGAGGAAAAAAAGTGAAGTAAATCATTGCAAACTATAGGCCATTGGGGGGTGTAAATGATGATCCTAACTTTATGAGATGCATACACCGAAATCAAGGCATGTCCCGACATTCTATAGATATAAAAATTAATAATATTAATTTATGCGAATTAAACTTTGTTTATACCATACCCCATAAATCCATGTTTTTTTTTGATAATTGAACAAAACTATATTAAAGCAAAATAAATACAAACGGATCCAGCCAGCTTGGTGGGGAGCCCCACCAGCATGAGCAAGTTCTAAAAGATTTTGCTTTACAAGCCATCACATGAGCAAAAGCAGTCTTCGACTTAGGTCTATACAAAAAGTATAATTCAAAAATTTTGAAATAAGTTTTAATTTATCTATCCAAAAAAACAACTTCCAAGTAACTCCCCTATCTTCTCCATTATAGCTATTCATCAGAAGTGGAGAGTCCGAGCCTATGATAACTATCTTTCGGGCTGTGGTAAAAAGAAGAGCTTTCCAGACGAAACCACATCTCCGCCCTATAGTATCCCGCCCCACAATGCTTCACAGTACATATTCGCCGTGTATTAGGAATATCTTCCAATGATGATACAATACATGACGGAATGTATTGTGGGGCGGAGATGTGAATTCTTTCCAAACAGCCAAGCTTTCAGCTTCGAAAGGAGTCTCTAATTGGAAATTTGATTCAGTCAGTGCAAGGCTCTCGTTCGAACAGCCTTCAAAACCTCGCATCATAAAATAATGCAGGGCTGTAAAGGCTGTTCGATAGATGTTCGAATGAAGCCGATCTCCCCTGGTTGGGGCTAAGCCCAGAAGCCATAGCCATAGGTAGCCCATATGAAGGGGCTAAGCCCAGGCCACCCATAGAAAAGGCATGATTTCTTACCGTTACTACTACATGTCTACAATTATACCATTACAGCTTATGGGTTTTTCTCTTCTAAAACAACTTTTTTTAAAACTAAAATTAATCTTTAAGAAATCAATTAGATTTGTTATTTACATTGATTTTTCAAAATTTACCTAGTTCTAATTCTTTTTACCAATTAATTTCTTTTATTGGCTTTTACCAATTGTTTACTATTCGATGGTGCCATACCGTGCTAGTCCATAAACTTAAAAGCCCAAACCCATCACGGCCCAATGCCTATGTGCCGTTGTACCTGTGTCAGGTCACGATCGACACAGCCCAATTTATATCTTTAAAGCTATGGTTTTTAAAACTGGATTGGGTCGGGCGGTCAGACCAGAAAAATTGGGAACCACCGAATCAGTTAAATGATCGGTTCCATTTTACCCCAGAACCGTTATTTTCACCAAAAATCATTGATTTGATCAGCAAACCACTGACCTATGTGGTCGAACCGTCCAACGGTTTTGACCGTTTTTTTTTATTTTTTATTTTTTGTCAGAATGGACCGTCCGTTCGGTTCGGACCGTTCGATCCGGGAACCGGACCTGACCGGTTCGTTGTCCGGTGCGGTTTTAAAAACCTTGTGTAAAACTATGCCAGTATTAATTCATGTTATGTTGCAATTTCAAAGCGAATCCCTCTTAAAAGTTGTCGCTCTGTTAGTCGTTGCGGTATCGATACGTTGAACCTTGGCCTGAAGAAAACGCATTGCAAAATTTCTCATTTCTCAATTTCTCAAACGCGGGGGAGCAGAGAAATTTTCGATGAAATTCACGGATTCACCTGTGATCGAACTCCCTGTGCGCGATGCACTCCTCTCTATCGAACAAGACAACGGCTCTATGCACGTCGGCACTTCCGTCTGGCCCTGCTCCCTTGTCCTCGTCAAATTCGTTGAGCGCTGGCTTCTGACCCACAACTCGTCTCTCTCCACCCCGAACCCTTATGTTCACCTCCTCAACTTCTCTGGCAAGCGAGCCATTGAACTGGGCTCTGGATGTGGCCCTGCCGGCATGGGACTCTCCTTGCTCGGCCTGGACATCATTCTCACTGATATAGCCCCAGTCATGCCTGCCCTCAAGCGCAACCTCAAACGCAACAAACCCACACTTGGGAAAAACCTAAAATATGCCCAACTTTACTGGAACAACCTCAATCAAATCAAAACCCTAAACCCTCCTTTCGATTTTGTCATCGCCGCTGACGTCGTTTACATAGAGGAGTCTGTCGGCCCGCTTGTTTCTGCCATGGAAGCTCTTGTGGGGAATTCTGGTTTCGTGTTGCTGGGTTACCAATTGAGGTCACCGGAGGCTCACCGGCTGTTCTGGGAATTGTGCGAGAGGGTTTTCACGATTGAGAAGGTCCCCCACGAGGATTTGCACCCAGAATATGCGTATGAGGAGACGGATGTATACATAATGAGGAAGAAATGAATGTTAATTTGATAATTTCAGGTGCGCACTTACATAAGTTCGAACTTTGAATTTTAGTTGTGGTTTTCTTTTTCCTTGTGGATGCAAAATTTTTTCTTTATCAAATAAAAGGGAAAAAAATGAAAACGAGCAGGCTACATTGGAATTCAAGTTTATAGTCTTGTTCCTGTGTACATTTTGTTTTGGCGAGAATTGTATCTTGATCGTTGATGCCAATAAAAAAAAGTATCTTGGCTCATCTCGAATTATGTTAATCTGAATAGTTATTAAATTCTGATTAACTTTTATCTTTTCAGAGCTTTGCGTTTGGGCCTAGAATTGAGATAATTTTAAACCCCATAATAAGTTTAGCGTTTTGTTGTCTTTCGCTCATGTTGTTAGAACCTAATGCAAGGATTCAGATTGATTTTGTAAGGCCAAAAGTTTCCAATTGATGCAGTAATGAAGTATCCTTACATTCAAATACTTAGCTTGACAAAAACTGTCATCTGTAGTCGTAGTGGTATCTGACCAAATATACGTGTGTTTAGAGGATGCTCCGTAAAGCTTTTGTGAGTGGTGAGATAAAAATTCAGATTTTCCCTATGAAGCAACTCTTAAATTAGCATGTCAATTGGTGGATGTACACGTATTTAAAAAATTCTTCTTGGTTATTTGGTTGTTTTTGCTTCCTCTTATTTTCTTTCTGTCCCTTATTCCTTTTAGAAATGGCATCATGACACTCATATGAAAATGATAAGTAATGATATCCTGGAATCTATGCTACTTACAGACACCATTTTTAGAGTTTATTTTATGCATTATGAATACACCGTCTGTTGGGCCTGTACTGTAGCCATCTAGATCACCTTGTGACAATTGTCAATCAGATTCCAAATGTAAATGTAATTATTTTTCTTCTGTTTTAATCTGGGATTTTTTTATTTAAATATCTACTTGATTGCTAATGATAAGTTTACTAAAAGCAAGACAAAAGAAAAGTGTAAAGAGATCCACTATATAATTCAGTCATTGAGTCCAATCTGAGCAACAAATAAAAAAAAAAAAAAAAAACTAACTCATCCACAAAAGTTTTGGTGCATTTAGGGATGTAAGTGAACATGATTTTCAAGTTGAAAGCTTAAGCATCATTTAAGCCCACCTACACTTTTGTAGGTGTTCATGAAGTGCAGATAGGCCCACCTACATCATTTAAGCCTTCTCAGATTAACCATATCATAGAAACCAAGGCTGTGAGTAAACTCAAACCAAACTGATAAGAAAAAAGGTCCAAGTGATCCACTATATGATTTGGTCATTGAGTCGTGCAAGTTCAACCACTAAAGTGTTGGTGGACTTGGGGATATAAGTGAACAAGATTTTCATGTTGAAATCTGAAGCATGAGCCTTTTGTAGGTGTTCATAAAATGCAGATAGGCCCACCTAAATCATTTAAGCCTTCTCAGAATATTATAGAAGCCAAGGCTGTGAATAAACCCAAGCCCAAGAAGTAACAGTAGAGCTTTGACCTAACTAAATCTCCTAAGTCCTATCCAAATAGACCTAGTAGTACTGGAAAAAGTAGAACTCCACTTTCTATGAACTCATATATTGCTGGATAGTCCCAAATTGCCATCTAGAACCCACCAAAATTCAATTTTAATACAACTCAGGTGTGGAGGGAGAGGGACTAAGATGTCACCTAATGTCAAGATGTGACCATCAAGAACCATTTATGATGATGCAATGTCACACACAATGATAATTATGCCCTATTTATAACTGTACAACTTTTGTTCTTAACAAAATTTCTTTTTATTTGCTATCAGGAGACAAGACTAGTTCATCTTATATTATAAAACTCACTTTAGATTTTTCTCCTTTTTAACCCCAATTAACTATTTTTAATTACTAGAAATCATATTTACAGACTAAGATTCTAAAATTACTTGTTTGCTATGGATATTCTTTTTAGTTTATACGATGCAACTTGAAACTAGTTGAGTAGCATCTTGTTCACAATTTCATATTATCACTTTTACCCTAAGATATAGATTTGATGAGAAGTTTAAGAGATAAGTACAACTCTGTGTTTTTTCAAAGGGAAGTACCAGTTCCATTTAAATGAAGTAAATACTTCTCTGTCGAATACCTTATCATACAAACTTGAATGCACCAAATCAAATGATTGGAGAAAACAACTGCTTATTGATATTAGTATTACCATACATTATGCTTACAATGGGGTTTCACTGGTCAAGATTCAAAAACAGCATGGTTGGGTGGCTTTTGATGTCGTACCTGAAAACAAAATATTCCAGAACTCCTTTCTTCTTGTCATCATTCAATGTTATATCAGCAAATTTCAAACTTTTTTTTGGCTAACATATAACCACCATTTTCATGCAAATTGTTTTATACCATGGAAAAGGGCAGTTCTTTGATGTATCAGACATACAGCAGGTAACTCAGTCTGAAAAAAATTAATGATTAAACTCTCTTCTCTCTTCATCTTCTATCTCGCAAGCACACAGGTTGCATTCAGTTTATCAAAACTTTTCTCAGTATTTTATGAATCTGTTTGAATTGTTCAAATGCAGATATTTGCCATGTACAAACAAGGAGAGACACTGACAGGGGGTTCCCATATTCAGGATTATAGGTTTTGTTGGATGTTTGTATGTGAATCTTGTATTTTACTGGAAATCCATAATAATTAACCTACTTTTACAGTTACTATCCGTAACAGTTTTAAGAAAGAAATCGTCCAACCTATTCCTGATATAGCAGCCCAGTTGGGATGTAAAGGAAATCTCTTGGTTGTCCTGTTCTTAAACAGAGTTGGGATCATTGATACTTAAGTAAATTCTTTGACCTAAGGTTATGTAAATTTAACAGAAAACATAACTCTTGCAGTCAATTGCATGTTTACGTATATGTGCACATGTATATGTTCTCCTATAGGCTCAGAACATTGCAAGATCTACTTTGCAAAATTATTAGGAGTGGTGAAACAGACTATGCTTGAAAACGAGAGCATCTGAAAGCTAGCTTGGTTTGATTGTTTTTGTTGGCTTGGATCTGGTGGGTGTTAGAGGGAGAATAGAGGAAAGGGAAAAAGAAAAAGGAGATCTTAAATGAACGCATTGGCATTTGTCAAGATTGCATTGACCTATATTTTGATGAATTCCTTCACATAAACGAGAGGTCCTATGATGGTGAAATACAACAACATTGAAAGAGAAAGCAGTTTTAGGAGGAAATAGGATCCTTTCTTTTGGGTATAAACAAGTTAAATGCGCATTGTTTTCCTTTTAGATAATTTGTTTATGGTATTGCACCCTTGTAATCACTGTTACTGTGTTTCGCTTTTGTTTCGAGCTAAACTCTCCCTCTTCTTTGAATTCAAAAAAAAAAAAAAAAAAAAAAAAAAAAAAAAAAAAAACAGAACAAAAACAAGGTGAGTTTTGATTGATCAATCAAACCATATAATACCATATAATAAACATGTTAATCAATCGGATGGTATTTATCAAAATTCACAGGTGAGTTGGTATCATGTCTTTTTGGCAACATAGATTTTCCTGATTAAAATGCCGGGCATATGCATATATCATGGTTTTTAAAACCGGACCTGACCAGAACAGATGGTTGGACTGGAAAAACCGGGAACCAGTCAGGTGATCGGTTCTATTTTCCCCCAGAACTGTTATTTCCCCCAAAGCTGTTAATTTGATCAGCAAATTGCTGACCCGGGTGATTGAACCCTTTGAACCGTTCAATGGTTTTGTCGGTTTTATTTTTTATTTTTTATCAGAATGGGCCATCCATTTGGTTTGAATGGTCGGACAGTTCAATCTGACAATAAGACCCCTGACCGGTTTGTTGTCCGGTTGATTTTAAAAACCTTGGCATATATAATTTCTTTTCATGCGACGGTGATAAAAATATTTTCTCCGCTTATAGTGTAAAAGATGCAAATGATTTTTTTTGGCATTGTTAGATATTCTTTTGTATTCAGTGACAATGTAATGGATAGCTCTTCACTAGGGAGATATAGTGGTAATAACTTCCAATAAAATGGTGATGTAGAGTTCTCCTAGGGGGAATGACTTTGCCCATTTGCATCATTTTAAAATTTTCACTTCATGCTCCTTTGAAGAGGGCATTTTGATAATTAAACATTCTATTGGCTTACTTAACGGTTCAGCCCAGGGTCAGAATTTTTAGACACAAAGTACAGTTGGGGTGGGTGTTAGTTCGGAATTGATGCTAATTTACAGGCAGGCATTGGTGTATAGAGTGGGAGTTTTTGACATTTTGAATGTTTATAACTTTGTAGTGGAATTCAGAAATCTGCATTGGACCTGTCCGTACTTTTCTGATGATTTTAACTAATAATACCTCTCATGTGTCTGGGATTGATTAAATGTAGGGTTAATTTCATTGCAACCCAATGCAGAATTCTGAATTACAGTACCCCATAGTCTACTAGTAGCCCCCCCCCAAACCGCATTCTGCCCATAGATTTGACATCAATCCACGGTCAGGATTTATCCCCCTGTACAGTGGGGGTAAAAAATTCTTAGTTGGACTGATTAGTCATTCTAAAAAATAGATGAAGATTTTTTCGAGATTTTTATGATTTGGTTTACCAACCCATCGATGTGCTTCTGTACATTACTACTGCAATTGGTGCAAACCTTACAACTATAAAACTTACTTACTGGGTTGTATCGAATAAAATACATGTTGTAAGACAATAGGAAGGAGAAAATCATCTATGGTTGTAGTACCAATAGTTGACAGGATATGGAAGAGTTGCAGAGGTTGATTTGGTCGCATGGCACCACTGGTAAAAGGGAGTGTTTTGTGAAAGTTTAAGTCCTTAAGAGGGCAAGCAAAATGTCAAAATGGACAATAGGGTCAGTTCATAATTCATGCTTGATAATAGACCTCTTCATGGCTCAGGGATTTTGTCAAATTTTGAATGGGTCTGGTCTGAAGTGTAAATTGTTTATGGGCTAAGCCCGAAGCCCAGCTTAGCTCTAACTTCTAATTGATAATAATTAAGGGTTCGTTTGGTTTAGATTTAGAATCGGAATCGAAATCTTTTGGAATCAGAATCGAAATGGTTTATTCCCATAGTCTGTTCGGTTCAGACAGCAATGGTAATAAGAATTGGAATCAGCAGGAATGGGAATGAGATTTTGATTCCACTCAACTAAACAGTTGGAATTGAAATAATCCATTCTGATTCTGATTCCAGACCCCTATTCCCGTGAGCCAAACGGGGCCTAAGAGATAAATCTGGATTAGATGAACTCTTTATCTGTGTAGCGGGCCGTGGAACCAATGATAATGCTCCATACCATACCAGTGATAAAATGCATGGGACCAGTAAGGGGTTGAGCGCTTGTGAGTCCCATGTGTTTTATAACTGTGTGGAGCATTATTATTGCTTCCACAGCCTGCTAAGCAGCTATTATATTCGGTTAAACCTATCTCTTAAGATTCTGTTTGAAATAGCTTCAGCTTTGATTTAGTTGCTTTCACTGAGCTGTTTTGGAGCTACTGAAACTAGTTTTACCATAAAGTTGATTAAACTCAACAAAATAATATTGGGGCTTTCCATGTTTTTCACCAAACATAGCTTCTATGCTTTTCAAGTAAGAGACCCACCTTGCAAAGCCATAAGCCACACTGCCTGAAATCCCTCCCAAATGCACCAAATTAGTTTTACCATAAAGTTGATCATAATCATGGTTCTTTGTTTTTGATACTTCACATCTCCAAAAATTACTTGTCGATTGTGCAAAGAGGTCATTGATCAAATTCCTATATAGCTACAGTGAATTCAAAATTGTTGATATTGCATATATAAATATAAATATATATATATATATATATATATATATATATATATTTATAAGACAAGTTAGAAAATAGTTGGAAGTTGTTTGGTGCATGCATTTATACCACAAGAGAATGGGAGGGTGTGAAGCTGATTGGGGATCCGAGGCTAGCAGTTGACAAAGCATCTCTCTTGGGTAGTTGGGTTACTTCTGTTTGCAAATTAAGTGATGAAGCCAGAGCCATCAGGGATGAGTTCTTCCATGAGTGCAAGCAATTATAGATGGAGGACTTCATTGATTGGACAAACTGTAGAAAGCAATGAGAACAGTTCTTTGCATCAAAGATGATGATGATGACTCTTATGGATGCTCCTTTGGCTGTCCCCCAAATTGAATTTAATTAAACCGCCCCAGTCTGGCACTAGTTTCATACTTTCATCATTAATAATTCTGGTGATATTGACCACATATCAATGTTTAATAATAATAATAATAATAATAAAACTCGACATAAGTGGGAAAGAGGAGAACTTGAAGACAGTAAAAGTAATTCTTCCAGAGTATTTTACATATAAATGCATCCACAATTCCACGTACACGCCATGCATATATCTACCTACTAATACAACAAGTATTATAAAATATCATTTAATGATTGTTTTATAGTAGTTACTTAAGAAATGAAATAAATAATGGTATATAACCAATATTTATATTAAAATAAAACAAAAAAAAAAGCCAAAGCCAAAGAAATAGAAAAAGGTGCAATTTTACCAAAACAGCCTTTCTTGATAGATATTCTTACTTTGGCATTACAACTGTGATGGTATCCAATTTTACCAAAATGAGAGACAAAAGGTGCAAAACATGAATGAGAGGACTTTTAAACCTAAATAACCTAAGCCCAACCAAACCCACCCAAGCCCCTCCCAAATTGTTTTGGCTTTAGTTTGGGTGGAATTTTAGTTTGAGATCCGGGCTCAAGGTTCATGTCTAGGGTTGGATTTAGATTGACCCTTAACCCAACTCATTCAAAAGGGTACATAGAGATTTAACATAAAGAATGATTTTATTAGAGTAATGGTGGATTTTATTTTAATTTTTATATTATTTATTTAAATATAAATAACCAAAAGAAAAGGTATGAAAGAATTTTTAGGCCACATTTGGGAGTGCTTAAATAAGTACTTATTTGGGCTAGGACTGCATCATTAAACACTTTTGGTGTTTGGGAAATAAGCCCGAAATAAGTGCTTACTTATTTTTTAATCCCAAATTTTCAGCTTTTTTAAGTGCTCATATAATAAATACTTATTCAAACTTATCAAAATTTTTCCCATAATTGTCCTCAATAAATTTTTAGAATATGAATTATACCCTTTCAATATTGTCACTTTTAGCAACAACATTGTTGGTTGCTTTTACGAAAGCGAATTACTTTTATGAAAACATTTTTATAAAAGTACTTTTACAAAGCACTTTTATAAAAGTGCTTTTACATGAAAGCAATTATACGAAAGTACTTTTATAAGAGCACTTTTACGAAAGTACTTTTATAAAAGCACTTTTGCAAAAGCACTTTTATGAAAGTATAAAAGCACTTTTGCGAAAGCACTTTTATGAAAGCATTTTTATAAAAACATTTTTACTGAAGTGTTTTTGTAAAAGCACTTTTACGAAAGTACTTTCATAAAAGCACTTTTTCAAGTGTATAAAAGTACTTTTATCAAAAATACTTTTATGAAAATACTTTTATAAAAGCACTTTCACGAAAGCAATTCTATCAAAACACTTTTATTCATTCACTTTGAATTGAATATTTTGAAATTTTAAAAGAAAATGAAGGACAAAAGAGTCACAAGTGCTTATTTAAGTTCATATTAGAGAAAAAAGCCACCAAAGTTCAATATAAAATAAATATTTTTTTTTAAATAGCACTTAAAAAAACTGGGTGCCAAATATAAATAAATTCTTATTTGAATAAGCACCTGTTTTTAAGCACTTATTCTATAAATATTTATTTTTAACATAAGCATTCCCAAACAAGACCTTAACCTCCCTGTTTCCTTTATATAATTATATAATATAGATATAATGTTATTAGAGGATTCACTGTTTGTAGTTCTATCAAGCCCAAAAAAACTAAATTGTGGAACAGTAAGTAGACCTTTCTACTTGTTTTTTCTTTCACTTTAAGCTTCACACAAATTGACAAGTGACCTGAGCCCACTTCTAATAGATAGTGCTTCAATTTTAACAATTTGCATTCAACTGATCATGTGATGTGGGGTCCATCCCCAGTCCCCCACTAATCCATGAAAAGGCAAAAGGTATATGCAGATCGACCGGTGACGTCGAATCAGCTTCTGAATCTCAAATTCTAAGCAGTCTTAAAATTTATCTTTGCATATTTACTGAGAGTCAGGATATCCTGTCCACACAAACTCTCTTCACGTCTATCGCAGTTATACACTGAGAATATTTCATCCTCTCCATGCAGGGGGACCATTTTAGAGACTGGTTTTTAGGTCAAATAATTTGACCATCTGGTTCAAATAGATGATTCGTTCTTATTAAATAAATAAATAAGTAAAATAAAAAAGGGTTAACTACTCTGCAATCTAATGCAGAATTCTAAATGACAGCTCCCATAGTCTATTAGTTGTCCTCTATAAACCGCATCCTACCTGTAAATTTGACATCAATTCATGATCAGGATTCATCCCTTTGTACAGTGGGGCTACAAAATTCTGACCTAGACTGATCAGTCATTCTCCCAATAAAAAATGGTCAAAATTGTTGTCTGGATTAACAGGTGGGTGGTTTGACTGTCTGGATCAGTGGGTTGTTGATCAAATTAATGGTTTTTGGTCCATGAGTGGTTTTAAGGTGAAACAGAACCGGTTGCCTCATCGGTTCCCAGGTCAATCAGTCCAACCATCCGATCCGATCCAACCCGGTTTTCAAAACCATGATCTAAACTGCTCATTTCACTAAAAACTCCATTACCCAATGTCGGTCCCAACTATTTGAGGTCTTGGGAGGGGTCTCTCTCTCTCTTGGCACAAAATTCAGGCTCAACTCAAAAATCAACCACCCCCAATTGGAGTAGCCCTGGTCTGAAACCGCGAATCATGTATTACTGCTATGGCGCTTCACCTTGAATTGAATTGGACGAAGTGATGTAAAATGGAGTCCCAACAATGCATCAAAGGCCGAGATGTCATGGTTTTAGGCTTTAACCCGTTTCATGCTTATCAGCCCAAAATTTTATCATGGCACCAAGCAATAGCCCCTAAAATGTTCACTGCACTGGGAAACAAAAAAATAGAATGAATGAACTCATCCACTAGAGGTTTATCTTGTGTATGTGCAAGTGCAAAGCAAGAGCTTGCTATGAGTAGGACTGAACTTGAATGCAGAATTGCAGACGACCCAATTCGATCATGGGTCCCTAACTGTCGAGCTTTCAATTTGTGACCCTAAACAGGGACTTGAACGCACCAAGTTCATGCATTTTCATAAAAGAGGAATCTGTATTTGTATAGAAATGTAAGAAAAGGATTTGTCTGATGCAATGGAGATGGAATGACACTACCCTTATCATGACATCAGATGTAAAAGTAAGACTCAATTTTTTAACATTTAAATCCCAATGACTCATTCATTAATTAACAGTTTTCTTTCCAATTAGATAATTTTCTTTGTGGGAACGGTTTGGGATTTTGAATGGTTGCATGGCCAATTAATGAACATCTCTGTGCTGTTTCTCCTTTCTGAAGATTTAACCATTAAAAAAAAAAAAGAGAGAAGAAAAGAAAAGAAAAGATTAGCTGATACATGAATATATATAAACGGCCAGAAAACGATTTAATAACTCTCCTTTTTCCAATCATAATAGCAAATTAAAGCTTATATTGGTACCAGTCGTCTCTTTATATATATATATATATATACAGTCACAATCTCTGTTGTACGTCTAGATTTCAATATTAATGGAGCAAAGAGATCATGACCATTTGAATTTGGAAGCCTGAGCATCAGCCCCCATCAAGAAAGCGTAGAGCTCTTCAGCTTGAATTACTCCAGAGTTCTCCCAGTAAGAGCTACGAGGCAAGCCGGATGACCCATCCTCGTCACAAGAAGTGGAGATTGAAGAGAGAGCAGTAGGGGGAGTAGAATTTGAGACCATTAGCATCTCCTGAGCCTTGTCTAACTCTTGTCTGAGCCTCAGCATCTCCTTCTCAAGCCGCCTCTTATCTGCCAAGGCGCTTTCCAGCTTTAGCTGGAGAGCCTTGTAGTCAAGCTCAAGGCTCTGGGTCTTCCAACGCGCCCTTTTGTTCTGGTACCAGATTGCCACCTGCCTCGGATGCAGACCCAGATCACGCGCAAGCTGGATCTTCCGCTCTGGCTCCAGCTTCTTCTCGTTGCTGAAGCTTGTCTCCAGGAGCCTCACCTGGTCCTGGGATAGCCGCTTCTTGTTGCGCTTGGGTGGGCTTTTCTGGTTCTCTGATTGAAGAAAGAAATCCATCTTCTGAGGCATATAGCTAGTGGAAAAGGGTTGAAAAAGCCTTTATAATCTTTTCAGAGAGTGGCACCGTTTAGCTTTGAGCCTGGAGGAACTCTAGTTTTTATTGTAGAATTAAGTGGAGAGAGAGAGTGAGCTGGGGCGGCTGACTTCTTCTCCATGCACGCGTATGGTGTTCACGTGGGAATGGCCCCACCCGTGCAAAGTACGGAAAATTCCCTACTGCCACTGGGCTCGAGCCTGTCCTATTCCCTGAATCCTGTTTGAGGTTGTTTTACATTTTTCAGTTACTAACCACAAGGCTTGCAACTGTGGAGTCGTTGTTATTTTAGCAGCACCAAGTAGGGAATCCAGATCGTTGATTTTAATATATTGATGGATGATTATCCACGTGTCACGTCGTGATTGGGTTCTCTTGGTAACATTCCCAGTTCCCATCTATGTGGTCAAAACCCTTAGAAAGGAAAACCTACGTATACCCCCACCAGCAAGAAAACAAATTGACAAGCAAACAAACACAACCAAGAGACAAGCTTTTGTAGAGTAGTTCATGACTTCATGTTCAGTTTCAGTTGCTTCATCTCACAGTTAAGTGTGATATGGCTCATTCAATGGACAGTTCACCAACAACAAATGAACAGTCGAATTTATGGGCCATGGACCGTGCATACACTGTGGGTTGTTTTCATTCTCCCCTTCCTTCCTTTTCTTTTATTAAAGATTTTAATTGGATAATATTAAAAAATATTTCTAACTTGTTTATTACGAATACTGCAGAAGTTGTAAGAGTGGAGAATGATTCCAGTGGGCTATACCTATCGAAATTAAGTAATATACATTTACATTGAAAATGGATTTTATCGTTTGCATTGGTGTAGATGTACATGAGTGCAAATAAGCTGACTGTAAACGCTAGTGTACTTTTGCTTTAGATTTGGCTGTTTTTTCTCTTTTTTTTTGTGAGAAATAAATTGAAAGTAAAATGAATTGATCTCCATCAACGTTATTAGGGCACATCAGGTGTATCGTATCGCATTGGAAGCACCCCGATATTCTAAATAATGGATATTTTACATTTTTGTTATTTTTCATAGGGTAGGCCTTGCTAAGACCAACTCCCTGTAAAATTAAAACATAAAAAATAAAAATATTACGAGTAAATCATGTAAACATCTGATACAGACGTTTGTGTATATCGAGGTGTATCAATACTTTGAACCATGATGAAAGAGAATGGAGATAAAGAGGACGTCTATTTATTTGAGAGTAAGGCAGGAAGTGAGTGATGTGGTCCACCCCTTATATGAAAGAGAATTGAGATAGGAGGAAGGTGATGCAAATTTTGTATCAGTTTTAGGGATATAAATTTGCACTATTAATAAGTGCAAATAAGACAAAAAAAGTTCATTTTGTATCAAACAAGAGTGCTAATCATAAAGAAATGAATGCTAAATTGAACTAGATGTATTTTTTTTTTCAGTTCAGATTTGCAATGCAAACAAACAGAGCCTAATATTTTTATTATAGTATTTGTCTTTAGTTGCGAGAAAACCAACATCCAAAAGGAATAAAAACAATGTTCTTAGTTTCTCCATCTAGTTCATGTATGTAGGTTCTTTCTTGGTGAGTTAATCTATTTTATGAATAAAACTGTTTTGTATGAAAATATGAGAAAATTAAGGGAGTGTCAACAACATGCATATTGTTTGGAATCAATACCGTTTTCTGAGAAAATGACGCCACATAAGAGAAAGCAATGCTTGAAACAACGCCCTCTTGTTTGGTATTGCTTTTTCTAGGAAAAAAAAGTGTTAATCCAGATCACACTTGGAAATTGGAAAAGTGTAGTATGGAGCAATGCCAAATTCAATGTTTTTTGAGACAACAGTGCATTGCTGCCAGTGGTGCAATGGTGTGGCATCATCTTGGATGTTATAGATCAATGTTAAAAACATTGTTGCCAGCACTGGTACCAAATAAAACCAATGCTATTTTTTCAGAAACGCTTATGTGGTAGCACCTGTTCCAAACAAAAAATAAGCACAATTTTCTCATCACATGCTCAGAACCATTTTTATAAAAAAATGGTGCGATGTTCCCAGCACGGATGCCAAACAACTACATGATTGGTATTGTATTTGAAAAACAAAAACAACTGCCGCATGTATAAGCAAAAAAAAAAAAACAATATAATTTAACTATTATGGCGGTTGTTTTTGTTTTCAAAAACAAAATCAATCACATTGTCAAACACCCCCTAATAAACAATATTGCACTCGAAAGATGTGTTTATAAGTAATATAGAAATATAAAATAAAATGACATAAGCAACATGGAAACATATATATGACCTGCTTTGGACTTATGTTTCTTTTTGGGGGCCCATGGTTTCTATCTCTTCTTGTGACAGCATTTAATTACAAATTACAATTCCTTATCGGTCTACCAGAACTGGAAAAAAAATAAAACAAAAAAAAAAAGTTGTCTTTATTTGTGCTAGAAAGCAGCCAAACAATCTCTTATGGATTACATCAACTACTTTTATAAGAAATATTCTTTAACATCATTAGCAGACTTTTGTTTAGAAAAATAATCATGTTTAGTTATTAATATAGAACAAAAGAAGCAATTCATGTTTAGTCACTGATATAACCGAAGGCACATAATACTTGACATGGATAGGTGTAACTAGCATGTTTTCTAACAATATAATTAAATAAGATAAATAAGAACATAGGTTATATAGCTTAATATAATATATTATCTTTTTTTTTTGCTTCAGAATATAATATATTATCTTATCTTTTTGTTCTTTAGTCTTCTTTTTTTTTTTAAACATAAAAGAATATAATCTAATATATGCATAACCAGGCTACAATCAAATTTTGCAAGTGCTAATAGTATTTTTAGTAATTTTCAAAGTTAAATTAACAGTGTCATTTCTTTGTATTTTCATATGTTATGTCATCTATAAAATTTGCCATATAATTACAAAATTAAAATATTAGCCATAATGCATGTTCTGTTTATTATTTTTTAATTAATTCTTTACTGTCTCTAGAAACTTTAAGATATAAAATTCATATGGGTCCATAATATGATAAATCTGTTCAACCAAACTTATATTAAACTTAAAAATTATTTTTTAGAATCAATAAATAAGGTTGAATTTTTACCAAAAAATAATAAATAAGGTTGAATATAGCATTTTGTGACAAATAAAATCAAATACCATGAATATCTTGGACCTTAAAAAGAAATATAAATTAAATCAGCATGTTAATTAACTATAACATATATGTTTACTATTCCAAACTTTTATATATGATGGGTTCCAAAAATATAAAATAAAATGCGATAAAATTTTTAACCTAATTCCACATAGATTTATCGTCTCTACTGGTGATATTTATGAATCACTCGATTAATGAAGTGAGTAGATGTGGAAGAGGACAGAAGGAAAGACAAGTTCAATTTCACAAGATAGAAGTGTTTGAATTGTACACTTACGTATCTCCACCGTATAGGGTGGTAGGGTTTAGTACTGTCCCCTCGGCCATAAGAGTGGACTGGAAACAAAGAAGGAATGACAGATGGGTCTACCCAGAGATCATGCATGCAACAAATCAGCATTTCATCAAATGGCATCTGATGGTGCTGATTTTTTGTGTGAGGGACCTCTTAGGTGGGACCCTTAACTTGGTGCCAAAATCACAATTAATGCACAAAAAATAAAAAAGAAAAGATAAAATGGGGAGACCTCCATAAGATGGAACTTTACGATGCAATTTGTATATCAAAACTTCACTCCTTGTCCATAATATCAAAGCAAATTTGGATTTTATTACATACTGTATGCACTAACGCCAATGTTTGTGTCACGGGAATGAGCAACGGAGGTCTTAAATCTTCATCACAAAAAGTAAACGACACAACACAGCCTAGTAATCCCGTGAGGCTGTGACGCTGCTCCTGTACAAAGGCCTTGTTGATAACAGCATAAGTAAAGCTTTTCATCCTCTATTTAAAAAAAAAAAGGAAATATTCCACATTCATGATTTAAAAGGTTGGATGCTGTAGCCCTCTATGTTACATGTAAATTAACCATATTTTCATTAACAATTAAAAGACCATTTACACTAATAATTAATGACCTTATAGAATGAATTTATTATGATATATAAATCAATTTGATCCATTTATCCCTAAGCCAAGTTTGTCGTCCTCTTTTTCTTTAATAACGTTACGTCAATAGGAACTTTAAAAAAAAAATAAAAGGACAAGCATACGCATTAATTTAATCCCTGTATCACTGGTTCTATGTCATTTATTTAATGAGTTCAAATGATCATCTAATTCTGCTACATGTCTATATGTCTATTACGGAGAAATGAAGAGCAATTATATATAATATCACTTCCCGAACCATGGTTTAATTTTCAAAACCGGACCGGATCGGACAGTCAGACCAGAAAAACTGGAAACCAGTTAGGTGTCAATTCCATTTTTTTTCAAAATCGATTTTTGCTAAAAACGTTGATTTGGTCAGCAAATCATTGATTCAGGCGTTTAAACCATTCAATGGTTTTGACTGCTTTTTATTTTTTTAAATTTTTTATTTTTTTGTTAGAATGGACCCACCATTCAATTCAAACAATCGGACTGTTCGACCCAGAAACTGGATCCTGACCAGTTTATTGTCTGCGTGGATTTTAAAAACCTTGCCCTGAACTGTTCCAAATCACGTTTGGGACCTCATGGCCCATCCTCCGGTCTTTTAACTGGTTAGTTAATTTTCACAATGCAAGTTTGGAAAGAGTATTAATAATGGATAGCACACTAAACAGAATGGAATGGAAAGGCAGAATTCATGTAACAACTCCAAATAACTGGGTCTCTCTCTTTCTCTTTCTCTCTCTCTATATATATAATTGAAACAAGACTCAGATGATAATTAATTAAGTCTTAGAAAGAATATAAATACATACAAAATATAAGATTTTACATTATATATTTGCGTTTTGTACTCCTTCCAAACTGAGCTTATTTGTTTTTAGAAAGTATCACATCAATAAAATCACTAGAAAAATCATGTATTTG